AGATAAACAACACATCAACTTTCACTTTGGCACCAGGTCTTCTCAATAACGTATTGGGCTGATAACAGTCAATGTCTCCATGATATTTTCAACAATTTTTGTTGAAATGTACTCTTGGGCAAGCATTTTGGCTGGCGGGAAAACCGCTTCACTACCATTTACTTGTTTTATTGTATAGAAAAATAACGTTTTTGGCATTTTGCCGATTTTTAAAATAAAAAATAATACGGTGGCGAAAACCCGCTTTAGATCTTTTTTTGTCTTTTCGTAACCAAATTATTATTGTATTATGATGAAAACTTATCCAATAACCAAACATTGCCTTTTAAAATTGTGAAAAAATAGTGTGTTTTTTCTCGGCATACAAATATTTTTTAACCAAATGTATTAAATAACACACAAAAACACACAATATACTTGAATTTATTCACCATACAGTAATGATTGCCGCACTTTCGGATCGTCCACAGTATCCTCCCAGTCTTTTTTATCATTTTTCTGCACGGCGGGAAAAACCGCTTTACTACCATTTACTGATAAAATTACTCACAATTTTAACCAAAGTTTCAATTTGCCTCAAATAATTGAGGTTTTGGTGGAAAAAAGCTAAAAAACCCGAGAAATTCTAACGGACATGTGCAGCGCCCTTTTACCGCTTCTGATAATTTACACAAAATTATCCGTCTTACATTGTTTTTATTGACCGATATTAATAAATTGCTTCGTTTATTTTATAAAAAGTTTAAAAAAAGCAAGTACAACGAAATAACGAGTCATTTATCGCTTGCTTGACAGGCACTTGAAAAACCGCTGAAAATGGATGCACTCACGTTCAGTTGGTGAGTAAATCCAAAGTGCGTTTTTCCAGTTTGGCAGTGAAATGCATTTCTGAGCGAATGAAGAATTTAACAAGAGGGGGTGTGAAATAAAGGTGCAGTCTGTCTTTGCTGAGAGACATTGAAAAGTGGTTTATTAAAAACATGTGCTGGCCCGTGTATTAACTATGTTGCTTGAGAGGTAATAGATTTGACTGTTGAGTATTTGTTTAATGGACGATTAAAAATTGAAAAAAAATATTAAGGAGTGAAAGGGGGTGTGAACAAAAGGTACACTCGCGGCTAGTGTTTTTGGGTTTTTTATTTCTGCAAAAAAATTGAAAAAATATTTAATAAAAAGTTCATTATTTTTGATAAATTCTGAGTTGTTTTTTGGTTATTTTGGCTTCAAAGAACAGTTTCGAAGTCAATATTTCTTGCTCCTCCTTTTATCATTCGGCAAATTTAGCCTTTACTTTACATAAAAAATAATTCACAAATTTCAATAACAAACATCGGCATCTTGAAAAAGTCGGAGAGACTCTTGTAAACCTTGTTTGAATCAAATCAAGGAAAAGGAAAAAACAAACTATACAAAAAACTATAATCATATTATCATTTTACTATTAAATTATCAAAAATGGTTTTTTTTCACCCCTTTATATTATTTTTAAATACATTTAAAATAGAATTAAAAAATATAATATAATTTAACGTGTAATGATTAAATAAACAAATAAACTGTAAACAAAAATGTGAAACTGGTCATTTATTTATAAAATATAGTTTTTAATATAGTTCATTTTTTGTTAAAAAACAAAGAAAAAAACCTCAGTTATTTATTAGTAAAATTTTTAAAATTAATACAGTCTTATTTGGTTGTTTTTGTCTTGTAAATAATTAAATTTTTCTGTTTTTTTTTCAATTTTTATCAATTTTAAATATATTTAATCCTAAAAATCCAATAATTATCTAGTAAAATAAAGGAATTTCTCTTCTAATTAACGAAAATTGTCTTTTTATTTTTGAAAATTATCCATAATATCATAAATTATCCCTATTTAATCCAATATTTTCCAATTAATTGTAATTATCTAGACACAATAGATAATTATATTAATTATTAAATTTTATCAACAATATTATACAACATTATCTTTATTAAAATGAAATTATCCACATTTTATTTAAATCAAAAATAAAAACAACAAAAATGTTTATTGATAACATTTTTTTATAATTTAAAAAATAATTATTTTGGTTGACAGGATATTTTTAATAATAAAAAAATATCATTCGAAATATCAAAAAGAAACCAACTTATAAATTATCTCGACTAAATAATTTCTGCAACGCTCTAATGAGGCTACAACATCTGAGGTTTCAAATGAAGTGAACGCATTACTAAGTTTTCCAGTAAAGATTCAAGTGTTGTCCATGAACGTATTACTCGTTCTGCTCTTCGTTTCCAAATTCCAAATATATTTTCTATGGGATTTAACTCTGGCGAGTATGCGGCGTTAAACACTACACAGTGACGAGTGCCAACAACAAGTTCCTCAATGTCGTTGTGTATTCCACAGTTATCACACCAAAAAACAACTCGAACGTTTCTCTGATCATAATATTGCATGAGTCTTTTAAAATACGCATTGAACAAAAGCTTGTCGTTAATTCCATTAACAATATCACAATAACTCATTCCGTTTACATCTATTGCACATACACTTGTCAATCGAAGCCCCCTTTTACTTTTTTGTTATAAAGACCTTCTTTCCACGTTCACTCCATCCGTACACATTCGTCGTAGCTGTTTTCCACGAAGTTTCGTCCAAACACACCCACGAATATCCCTCACACATTCTTGCGGACAATTTTTGAATGGCAGTTATTCTTTTGTCTTTGTTTACTTCCGAGTTCGATTCAGCACCTCTTGTAGTCTCTCTTTTAAAACTCAATATTGGAAGTTCTCTGTCTTCATAAACACCAGTTTTTCCTCTCATAAAATTTGTAATAGACGTAATAGATGGAACGATCTTGTTTTTCTCTTCCATTTTTTTGTCTATTCTTACAATAATTTCCGGGTGCTCAACAATTTCTTTAAACGTTTCTTCTCGGATTTCTACAATGTCTTCGACATTTACAATGTCATCCATTACCATCATTCCCATTATGTATTCTCTCATCTGATGCACCTTTGTCGTAGAGTCATTCTCCAAAAGTCTTCCTACCTATACTTGATATGGAGTCACACGACTTTTTTGTTATAATGATTTTTTGGCAATATACTATCCCCCTTTCTCAACTTGATCAACAATGACTTACAATTGTCGTTTTGAATAACACAATTGGAGGCATATTCGCCTAGTTGCCATTCATCTCCATTTTTTTCTCCAAAATGCGATTAGCCTTTTTTCGCCTCTAATGCAATTCTTATATACGGGTTTCTAGGTTTGGTAATACTCGTTGACAATGGAATGGGTCCCTCTCTAATCATTTTTAGTCTTCTTCATTTTTTGGGGGGGCGGCATTGGTTCAATAAATAGAACCGAGGTTGTACTTGTTGAAGGATTACCAGGAAGTGGTTCTGGTGCGCTATCTATAAATTGTTCTCTAACAACATGTTCTCTTGCGTTTATGTAAACCATAGCCGAGTTACTTATTTTATTTTTAATAAAAAGTTGTTTTTTAAAAAAAGGATGCTTTGTTTTTATTTTTGATTTAAATAAAATGTGGATAATTTCATTTTAATAAAGATAATGTTGTATAATATTGTTGATAAAATTTAATAATTAATATAATTATCTATTGTGTCTAGATAATTACAATTAATTGGAAAATATTGGATTAAATAGGGATAATTTATGATATTATGGATAATTTTCAAAAATAAAAAGACAATTTTCGTTAATTAGAAGAGAAATTCCTTTATTTTACTAGATAATTATTGGATTTTTAGGATTAAATATATTTAAAATTGATAAAAATTGAAAAAAAACAGAAAAATTTAATTATTTACAAGACAAAAACAACCAAATAAGACTGTATTTTACTTTGAAAGCCGCGTTTTTTAAGACAAACAATAAATTTGTGTAATTATATATTTCAAAATAAAAATAATAAAACACAATGACCAAAAAATCACAATAAAAAGGTTTGTTTGTTAAAGAAAACACTCAAGAGTGCAGCCAAAGCTTCAGCTAAGCGGAAACTTATGATTCTATAACGAAACTTTTTGGAGTGTCAGGATGGTATAATTTAAAACTTAAGAAAAGTAAACAACAGTTTCTATTAAAAAAGGTCACTTTATTGGTCATTATTTATTACTTAAGTTTATTCGTCAATGCATTATGTTATAATTCGAATTTTGTATTTTTTGTATCATTAATAATTAATTAATTATTTCATTTAAGTCTGTGTTGGTCTAAAATCAACAGAGCTTTTATAATGAAATATTTGTTAGCAGCAGAACACCCAAACAAATAGCCGCGGTTTGATTTAAAAAATCTTTGAAAGATTTTGCAATTTTAAATTCTATTTTACACATTTTTTAATAAGTATAAAAAATATTTAAAAATAATATGGTACTGTGGATACTAATTCAACATTTTTAAGGCCAAACAATCACAAAATATGAGTAAATTGGTGTTAAGAAAATTATTGGTAGTACCAACTTTTTGTTAACAGTTTATATATATAATATTTTATCATACAATTTATTTACAAAAACATATTCATATATAAGGGTATGGGAAAAACCCATCAAATTGTCTTAAACCCCTCAAGCTTCAAAAAACATTAATTACGATGTCATCCCGAAGAAGTACGATAAAAATTGGACAATAAGAAATGTTGTATAACAAAAACAAAATATAAAAATAAAAATAAAAATCATAGAAAATACATTTGGTTATAACTGTTCAAAACATGATCATAACAAGTCGCGTCTCGCGTAAAACCACAAGAAGTGACATCGGAGAATAAGTTTCAAGAACGCGGTTGTGGAGTTGGCTTGCAATCGTTATCCGAAAATATTGTTTCTAAATATAAAATATTTTTTTCTGGTTTCGACCAATCAATTGACGATTTGAGGGGTTTTAAAAAACTATAGGGGTTTCGAACAGACTTGTAATTAAAACATTTAAATTGTGATTATTTGTCAATTAATAATCCAAAATTAATGAATTAAAGAAAAAGTACGACAACTATTAGAGTAACCACTAACACAACATTTGTTTGAACACTCCCTTCTTTTGTTTCAGTACCACTATTGGTACTTTCATCATTAATATTACTCTCGCTGTTTATATTACTTTCATCATTCGTTTTACTTTCACTGTTTATATTACTATCATTATCTGTTTTACTTTCACTATTGGTACCACTCCCATTATCCCAGCACATTGCAATATCCGGAGCGTCTTCATTTTTGATTAAAGTGACCTCATCGAACGAATAAGTGTTTGTTGATGAATTCTGGTTTATAGCAGTAAACCCCCAGAAACTATTATTGGTGATATTCAGTTCTGAAAACAAGAATTTGTAGTAAGTCCACGTGTTCTTTTTGACGGGCACAAACTTGTCAGCTCCCGTCGTTTTATAAGCTCTGACCAATAAGCTTCTTTCAGAGTCCACCGTCCCTCTCACGTAGAATTGAATTGCGCTGTATTGGTCTGCTCTTGCCGCAAAATTAGTCGCAAGTTGTAAAGCGCCGAATGCGTCTGCGGTCATGTCAATGCAATATTTACCGACTTTTGGACTATTCGTCGATTTAAAGTTGATTGTCGACTTATACGACCAGTTGTTATAGACTCCAATAATACTATCTTGGTACAACACACTGTAGTCGTCCCACAAAGTACAGCACTCCGGCTCATTCTTTGGTTTTGTGATCTTTTGAAGTGTTTCCACATTATAAAATAGCCCATCTGCGACTTTGAAATTGCCATCTGCGACGTTCACGGCACCACCTGTTGTATTTGTCACTGTCACAGTGACAAAGTCGTCATTGATTGAATAGATTTTTAAGGTGATTGGCGTCTTCAATGAGTAGAAATACGTTTTCCCAGGCTGTAACATTTGGAACTCCCAAGTGTTGTACCACGTTCTGTTTAATGAAACAAAATCAGTGATCAAATCCGAGTCTTTCATTAAGACACTTTTGACGCCAATGTAGTGGTCATTCACTACAAAAGCAAACCACGCCGGGTTCGAACTTTTATAATTGACAGTTTTAATTTTGGTGCCTTCGGGATAGTCGCAGGCGACCATTCTGAACGTCACATTGACCATCCCATGTTCAGCAACATACTGCTGTGCATTACTGTGAAGATCGAAGTGTATCATATCACCTTGACATGGGATATTGTCCGCATTGGCTGGACATGAATCTTCTACACGAAAACGCAAGGTACCGACCGGTCCTACCATTTCATAACATACCCCACATTTGGTGGCATTGTTGTAAAAAGCCCAATTGGGCGCGGCACCAAACATGTAGCCAGGAAGAACCACTTCTTCTGTTTTTGGACCAAAGGAACAGGAACCACCCTTTTCCCATCCAACATAACTTGTGATACGACCTTTTGTACATGAAGAAAGAGGTGTAAGCGTGGCGGTTTTACTGCTCATCATTTTGGTGTATAAATTACTTGAAACTTGTGCGGTAATTTCTTCATAAGAAGGTGAGGTTTGTTCTTGTGTGTATTTCTCGACTTTCTCTTCAATTCGACAAAGTTTGGAATTTGAGAATTGAATGAATAATAACACAGCTAATAAAATGATCATTATTGAATTTGTAGAATTATTCGGTTTTTTATTTTGATTATTGGAATTTTCACCGTTTATGAAAAAATATATTTGAAAAGTAATGCATAAAATATCTTTATTTTCAGTAATTCAAAATAATAATTATATTTGTTGTCAAGTTTTGTTTACATAAACTATAATTAATAATATTTTTATTATATATTATAGTTGACATCTTAAATTATTATTACCTTTAATTTAATAAGGTGGTAATTATAGCAGTCGTTATTGAACTAAAACATGTTTTTTATAAAGCAAATAATTGATGTAAAATCAATTCGTTGTTTTCGATTATTGACAATATTTTGGTTTATTACTGAAAAAAATATCAAATATTATATTTTTATTAAAAATTACTAATTTCAAAATAAATTTAAAAAATTAATTTTGGCATCTTTTATAGATTTTTGTAAATTTATAATTTATGATATTTTATGGAAGTATTTCTTCGGCAAAATTGACACATCCCGAAACTACAGTTTCATATATACTAATAATCACGTTATGTTTGTGTTAATAAATGTATTATTATATTATTAAAATTGTTATAACAATGCTATTTATATTATAATATATTTTTTGTGGTTAATCAGTACTATAAAGTTCTAGAATATAAAGTTTTGGTTTTTAATTTACTTGATTTTTATTAAATTTTTAAATAATTATTTGATATAACATTTAAACCATAGTTAATAATAATATTTATTATATATTATAGTTAAATATTTTTATTTGGTCAATACTAAAAATATCATTAACGAACTAATTAAAACTATAGTTATTTTTTTATTAAATAGAAGTTTATTGCAACACACATTTTTCATGTTGTTGTTTCTGTAGTTCAAAATCTTCCACTTCTTGGCAATTTTCGTCCACAAGTGGCTCAACAATTTTATTAAACGTTTCGACCATTCCATTAAATCCAATGATTTCTTTAATTTTGTTATCTGACACGACTCTTTTTAGACTTTTAGGTGCTCTGATTGTATCGACATTTGAATCAACAATTTCAAGCAGTTCAAGTTGACACTTTGACAAATCAAAATACTTTTCTGACGTCTTCTCGATGACAAGTTTAGTTGTGCACATTGGCAAATCGATTTCACAATATGAACCGATGGTGCCATTTCTGAAATCACTCAACACAATTTCTTTCAAGTAGATACAATCACTCCAATTTCTTAAACTTTCCGTCTTTAAAAATTCCAATTTTTGTGGTAATTGGTCTACTAAATTACCGCGGACGTCCAAGTATTTTATACCCTCCAAATTGGCTTTAGAAACACATTCATTTTTGACTTTCATTTCGAGTTTCTCTACAGTGCTTGGCATTTTTAAATTGACTGAATTACATGGTTGGAAGACGGTGAGTGCTGTTAGACTAGTTACTTGAGTCAAGTCAATGTCTCCTCCAATGTTTGGTTCTTTCAAATTCAATTCCATCAAATAATACTTTTCATGGTTTTTGAGTACCTCTTCAACATGTCCTGGACGTTTTAAACAGCTATATGTGTATATCATCTTTTCCTTTGTTAAATCTTCTTTAATTTCAAAGTCGTCTTCTTTGTGTTGCATGAACTTTGTAGTCAAAAATATGACGTTTTTATATTTCAAATCAAGCGTTTCTATGTCGTCTGGAAGGTCAGTCACAAAGTAAAATTTGATGTTTTCTAACACTGAAAATTTGGAACAAAATTTGTGGAGCAAAAGAATACCAGTGTCTCTGACTTGTGGCCCATTTTTGGTGAAATCAAAGCGATTTGGATCATCACAGAACATGTGAAATGTCTCAAGTTTCGATTTTTCAAAATTCGAAAAATCGATAAAGGTGAAGTCACAGACGAATACCCACCCATTAATAGTCCACTTATTCTGTGTGGCTTCGGTGTATATTTTGAGGTGCTTCAAATTTGGAAATTTGGCGATATCAAAGTGTTCGCAGCGACTCGCACTGACATCATTTTGACTTGAAGAAAAAATGACTTTGAGTGAAACGATTTTAGGAAGAAGATCTTTTTGAGAAAGTAAACTATGAAACATGGAAATGTTAATTGTCAACTCGAGGAGATCTGCTATGTTAAAATAAGAGGTGTTTCGAAGATAAATGGAGCAAAGTGTCTCATGTTTTGTATGGGAAAACAATTTTAATTCTTGTTCAAGTGTTTTGTGTGAATAAAAAGGATTAATTCTGAGCATTGTAAAAGCAGTGTTACAGTCTTTTGATATTAAGAGAAATACTCTTAATGTGTTCAGACTGTCAAGGTATAAAATCACATTCATTAAGTAGACGCGTTCTAATTTGACCATATTATTTGTATTTATGATTTTAGAGTTCTAATTTGTTTTTACAATTTTAGTTGGTAAATTATTTATTCATAAAACATTATTAATAATTTCAACTTGTGTGTTGTTTTAAATGTAATTGTTTTTACTGGTTGAGTCATAATTAAATTAAATACTAATATTTTGAATAATTCTAAAATTTTCAATACATATATCTAGTGGATAATATGTATATCATTAGATTCGAGAAAAATCATTATTTTTATGTTTTAAAATCAAACTCAAATATAACATAAATATAATCAATTTAAACAAGTATTTGATCAAATTAACTTAATTTATTATTTATATAATCATTAGTCATGTATTTTTTTATCAAAATGACAACTTATACAAAGGATACAACTTACAACAATTTCAATTTATTTTTAAAATATTTAAACTAAACAAAAAACAAAACATATTAGAGGCGTATTTTCAAAATCACATTAAAAAAAATTATAAAAATAGTGTGTATTGTTCATTAAACAAATATTGGTAGATAATAAATTTCACATAAAGTGCTATTTTTTGTGTCGTTAAATAAATATGTTATTCTATATAAAATAAAATAGTCGACATAAAATGTTGCGGTTTGAAAAATAGTATGATTAAGACTGTTTTTCAATTAGAAATTTTAATTATTAAATATATAAATAATATAATTTCTGATATATTATACATTTTATACTATTATTATTTAAAAGTATAATAATTATAAGTTTAAATTAACTTGAGTCTGATCCAGATTCTGAATCGTCAACGGTATTGTGGTATTCTTCATAACTAAAAGCCTCTTTCGGGATTGATGGGTTATCACGGAGTAAGTCGCAAGAGAAAAAGCAATTAGTTCCAAACTTTGTAACACTTTTTGGTATAATTATGGAACTTAGTGATGTGCACAAGTCAAACATGTGTGCTGGGATTTCTGTGATACCTTCAGGTAGAACAACTTCTTTCAAGTTAACACAACTGAAACAACTGTAATATCCAACAGATTTTACATGAGAAGGGAATACTATTTTAGTAAGACTTTTGTTGTTGAAGAAACACCCTTCGTCCACACGTTGTATACACTTTTCGTTGATTGTTGATGGCCCAAACTCTTCGACATCTCGTCGTGTTAAAACAACATTGTTACACACAACACCCATTTTCTCAAAGAAGTATTTATTTGTTGTAAAACTCACTTCAAAGTCGCAAACCGTGATAGATGCGTCACCAATTTGTATTTCTTGAAGGGAAGTACAATCGGAAAACACGTCGAAGTTAATTTGAACATTCTTCTGATTGAAGCATACCCTTTTTAGTTTTTCGCAGTTCATGAAGCACCCATCTTCTACAAGTGACACACTTTCTGAGTTAAATGATGTCAAAGAAATGCAGTGTTTGAATGCAAATTTACCGATACGTGTGACTGAATTTGGTACTTTTATTTCACTCAATTTATAACACCTAAAAAACGCACAATGTGGAATAGTTTCAAGTCCATCAAAAAGTGTGATTTTCGACAATGAAGTACACCGTTCAAAGACCGAATTTGAAAAGTATTTCGTTTGTGGAATATTAACAAGACTGTCACATGAATAAAAACACTTTCGTCCAAGAACGACATTTGTGTTACACGAAATAGAAGTCAACGAAATACATCCATAGAAACAAGTACTCGCCAATTTTGTAACACTTTTGGGTAAGGTGAGTGTTTCCAGGCTATAACAATTAACAAAACAGCCATATGGTATTTTAACTACATTACTTGGTAACTTGACACTTGTAAGGAAGATCCAATTTACAAACATACTCGATAGTAATTTGTCACAGTTACTCATTCTTATACACTCGTGGTAATATACACACATATCTTCAGTTTCTATGTATTTTAAGTATCTAAGGTGGCTATCGATTGAAGTGTCAATAGTACGTGTTACATTCATTTTACTCATTTCAAGCTCAACAACTCTCTCGTCTTGCCAACATAATTTAGAATCCCAAATGTACCCAAAATTTTTTATATCATCTTGCGTCAATTTAATGTTATTAAATAGATACCCAAGTGCTTTCAGCCGTAAATGACACTCGTAGCTCACCACAAAAATGTTATTGTCTACTCCATTTGTATCAATTTTGGTCAAATTCTTGTTATTACAAAACAAGTATTTGTCTGCTTTTTCAAGTGTCGAAGGCAATGAAAGTTCCTTTAAATCGGCAAGTTCTGAAACATAATTTCGTATATGAGTCACTCCATTTGGTATCATTAATTTGGTCAGTGTTTTGTCTTCTGTTAACTTTTGCACAATAATATCGTCACTTGCTGTGATGCTTTTAAAATCAAACGAAGTGCCGTTTTCAAATATTATATTTGTTAATAAACTACACCCACTAACAAATCCATTTCCTATTTTGGTGACACTACGTGGTATTACAAGTTCTTCGAGATAAATTGAAGAATTGAACGCGTTCTTGCCTATTTCGACTACAGTACTTGGCACCACAAAATTTCCATTACATCCATACCACATGTTGTGATTTTTAATTTTAGTGATGGTAGTTGGAAACACAAAATTGTGAGTCAGATCAAACGAAAAATTGTTGTACATATTGATGCAACAATTCTCTGAGATTTCAACTGGGTTCTCTGAACAATTAGAAATGTATTCCATATCAAAGTCCACAAGAGATGATGGAAAATACACCGTTTTAAGATAATCATTATATTTAAAACGTTGTCCACTGATTTTTTCCGCATCGCGTAAATCAAACACTTTACATTGTTCTAAATTGTACAACACAACTTCATTGCACTTTGAATTGGTCTTCACTTCGTGCAATTTCTCGTCTGCAAGTTTTTCTTCGTCATTGTTGTATACTGGAGGGCTTTCATCATCAACATCAGTAACAACATCAAGTGCAGTATACCCAAATTTATTCATAATTTCCTCTTCCTCTTTACTGATTGCAAATGTCAATTTACCATTAAAATTTGGAAGTGTCAATGAACTTAATTGAGTGCAATTAGTAAAAATTTTAATGCCACAAAATTTGGTGTTATCTGGGAAATTCAATTTTTTTAAATTGGAACAATTATAAAATGCACGTGCACCGATACACAGAAGCTTATTTGGAATTACAAATTTGCTTAAAGAAGTGCACTTTTCAAAAGCGGATGTGTTGATAATTTGAAGTGATGATGGGACATTGATATCCTCAAGTTTTTCACAATGAAGAAACGCGTAACTTCCAATGACCTTTACAGTGGTGTCCATTTTCACACTTTTCAATAACAAACAATGGTCGCACACATGATCTGCTATGATTGATTGACCAACAAATTCAATGTGATTTAGATTGGAAAATTCAAATGCATAAAACGAAACACAAATATTTGGTGCAACAACAATGGACTCCATCCCACAGTCCGGACCAAAACAGTCACTTCCAAATGCAGTGATGGATGATGGTATTTTAACTTCTTTTAAAGACACACATTTTTTAAAAGTTTGTTCGGGGATGTGTTGAAGTGTAGATGGAAGTACAACACGTGTCAAATTGGTGCATCCATCGAACACGCTATCGCCAAGAAACGTCACAGAATTTGGTATTTCAATTTCTCGGATATGTGCTAATGTAAAAGCCTTATTTAAAATAACTCGAATGTTATTTGGGATGGTTATCACTTCTTCCTCACAATTTTTAAAACAGTTGTTGTCAATACAACACACATTTTGGGGAATTGTGTTGCCATACTTTTCTCTGTCTTCTTTTGTGTATTTTACATAAGGACAAATATTAAAGCGTTTCTTTTCTTCTAAAAATTTGTCATAAGAAACTAGATAAGAGTATTGGAGTCGCTCAATATTTGTGTTTGTAAGTTTTATATCGAACGGAGAAAACATATTTTGTGTTTGAATATTAGGAAATAAATTCATATTTTGCGGTGTTATTTGTATTGGGTTGATTCTAATTCTTTCAAGCATATACTGATACTTTTTACATACACAAACAATATTAATAAAGTCGGTGGGATTCATTAAGTATTTTGTGACAATTTGCATGGAAAACACATCAAGTCTGTTCATTACAATTACCAAGTTAAATATCAGTTTTGATTATAAATCAATTGGTATGAGTTCGAGTAATTTTTAATTTTTTGAAGTTTAACATTTTTACACCGAATAATTTAATTGAAAATAATAATAATAGAATACTATTAACGATTATCAATTTGAATATTTTAAAAAACAATTTATCACTTCGATTTAGTCTCCAAACTATTACTTCAAGTTGTTTTATTTTGTGAGTGAACTTGAAAAACTTGGGTGTGCATGTTTTTATAATTGTATTAAAGATAATATATTGCAATTTCCCCAATATTACAATTAAAATCAAAGTCTTTTGCTTTGGCGATTGTTTTTAGCTACTTACAATTTACATTAAAAACAACCAAATTCAACGAAATCGAAATCTATTGTATTATGATAAAATGTTTCAAGTGGGTTTACATTAAGAGAACTTTATCATCGTTTTTTAAGAATGGAATTAAATAAAGTTTAAGTTGATTATTACAATATTATTTATATTTTGATTTTACAGTAAATATTCGATAAGAGGGCTATTCGATATAAGGATTTATTCGATAAGAGACCAAAAAATAAGAGGGAGGTCTCTTATCAAATATCAAAAAAAATCAAAAAACAACAATTTCTTTTTTTGCTATTTTTAATATTTTTTGTCCAAAACCTTAAAATGGTAATACATAAACCAAATTGTCATTAAGTTAAAAAATAATCAAAATAATTTTTAAAATTATTTTAAAAGCAAATTTGTTTTTCATCTAAAACGGAAATAATGTTAATTAACGTGTCGTTGGAGCGCGTTGAATTATTTTGAAACAACGCATGTTTATTTTAAAAACAAATAGTTGCCATATTGCTCTTCATGTGTTTGGTTTAAATGCTGTTTATGTTGTCTGTCAATATTTTGATTTTATAACGGACGTTTTGTGTTTTAATAAACACTAGTAAAATAAAGCATTTGTTTTTCATATTATCAATTACAAAAGTTTTATAAAAATGGCAAAAAAATTTTTTGGGTGAAAATATAATTTGGATTTTTGTTGAGACAAAAAACAAAATGTGGTATTTTTTGTTAATTATTCAAGTTTATATTATTTGACCTTATATCGAATAAGACTGGAACATAGACTGGACTATTATCGAATATATACTGTACTTGTTTAAAACTAACTTGTTGAGTGTATATTATTGACATTTAATATATTAACTTATATATAGAAATTTAATAATGATGTAAATTGTTCATTACAATTGAAAAACGTAATATTAAACGAGTAGTGAATTAAAATACATTTTATTTCTTCTCCTCCTTCTTTTCAGTGGCAGCAGCCTTTGGTGCGGCTTCTTTTTGTGCAGCAGCAGCTCCCTTCTTTCCTCCCTTCTTTGGCATGTGTTTTAAATGAGTGATTTGAAAGTTGCTGTCTTCCCTTTTATCGAGTATATATTTTTGTGATATATGAGAGCCCGGTTTTCTCTTACACAACAGGTGTATTGCGATGACAAACAGTAATTCATTTCAATCAAAAATATTTATCCCACAAAATGTGATATGCCACAACTCAAAACATCCCATTTTATCTCACATTATATGTCTATTGTAGCATAAAAATATTAAATTTTTTGAACAAAAATGAAAACTCGGCAGATCACACGATTTTTCATTAACATTCACTACCACAACGCGCCACGTCATTGTTGTAAATAGCACACCAAAAAACGTGGTGATGTGGCATCTGGGATTCCCGGTTAATGATATAATAATAAGGGCTATAAACATCCACAATAACGATGCTC